AACGAAGTACTCACTCTTCAGTCAGTAAGGAAAGACTGAAGAGGGAGGACGCAATCTGAAGTCCTTATATACTACCAGAGAAGTGTCCATGACTAATCGAAGAGTGGTTAGTCACATGTACCATAGTGCGATGAATAATACGATGGTGAAAGAATTGCGACGTATCGCACCATAGGATGAGTAAGAGATGAGTAAGGCATAGACCTGTCTAGACCGTTCTGGAGTAGTACGGATTGTCCTAGACAGTACCAGAAGAGTCCGAAAGCATAGCTATAGTACACGAGCAGAGAGTCCCAAATATGGTAACATACTACATAAGCGACTACAGCTAAGCGCTAGGAGACGCATAGCCTCGTGTAGTCCGGACCGGATAAGTCCAAGTTCAACAATCAGGGTCTTCTTTTGCTCTTTTGTCTGTTCTACCTGCGTAATATTGCATGTCCTCGCAGATCCTCTGACTCTGAAGCCTCGTTTTGGTATGGTGGTCGAGGCGGTTATCGTCTCGCCTGCTATCAGAACCGGGGGGCACTGCTTCAGAAGTGATGGTGCATGGAACCCAGCTACAGCGTGTCTTGTCAGCCGAGCTGTACTCACCGCCCATCCGTTGGCCCAGAAGCACGAGAACCAAGGGGGTTCTACACCTCGCGGTGCGCAAGTTCAGATCCTAATACACAAATTTGGGCTGAAATTGTTTCTCAACTCAGCCGCTCATAATACATTAAAATCGGAGAAGCTTGGGATCCTGTGGTTGGTCTTGACACAACCGTTAGGCCGATTGCCCAAGATCATGACACTTTTCGCCTGTGTCTGAGACGACTGGATTGAGTCCGGATGTCATAAGCGATGGTTGTTTTCCCTTGGTCGATTACCACGCTCAGACGAATCGTGATGGGTACGATCCGTGCATCGGTTTTGAAATGTATACCTTGTACTATTGTGAGGCTGAGTATCCGCAAAAGGGTGATCGAAGGGCTCACTGTTTGAACAGCGCTGTCGTTCTGCTAGAATCGGCTCTATTGCAGCAGAGCTCTCACGTTCACTGGTGCTGATATCTGGACTCGCTTTCTCATCGATTGATCTCTGCGCGACCTCTAGGAGTCTGGGGTCCACCGAAGCCATCAGATATAAAAGCCCAGCTAGTAAGAGCTGCGAGAAACATCCATCATCCTGCTCTGACATACTCTTCACAGCCATAACATACATCAGCATGCAGGCGTCGACCACCGCAGAGCCCCCTTCCCGCTTCAAGACCTTGCTATTCCAACTTAGCCCACCGGACGCTTCAAGCGTCAAAGAACGCGTCAGTTTTCGTCCCTACGTAGAGAGCATAGTCGATACCATCTCATAGTGAATTCATCAGCTTGCTTGGGACGAGGCTCGCGCTGATAACAAACTGAAATGCGAGCTCGAAGATCGATCAGACCTTCCTGCCACAGCAGGTGATCAGCAGACGGTTGTCATATCATCTCAAGAGAGCGGTCCTAGCGAGGTCTCCGATGCTGTGTATACCTCAGATACCGAGGATGAATCCTTGCCTACGGACCCGGAGGATGGTTCAGATTGTGGCGATGTAGTCGTTGTGTCCCCTGTATCTCCGACTATTCCGACATACGCTGCCGTTATGAGTCATCATTGCGTTTTCCTCTGTTCACCTGTGTTGGAAGTAATAATTCTTCTATGTGATGCAGAGCGACACATACTACAGCCCATACGTCCGTGAAGGAAACAAGGACCTCTTCCCTAAGGAGTACGATCGTGCTAAAAATGACGACGGAGCTGTGCGACCGCTCATGAGGGCTGCAGGAAACTACTCCCCAGGAACCCGGTCTCCATTGAAAGGCCAGTGTATTAGTTTCTTCGTCATGTGACACCTTGTTCAATAATCTCGTTCAGGTCAAGGCTACACTGTATGCATGGCAAGTTGCTTGCTCGTTGGTCATATTCCATCATTGAGTCAAGTGCTGTACAGGGTACTCTCGGACTTGATGGTAAGACCCAAACATGGTCCAGTGCGATACTTGACACGGGTGTGTGTGTACCGGTGCACAGGATTTCGTCTGACTTACATATACACACGAATCACTGCTCAGGTGCTCACCTCACGTGAGTCACGTCTATCGTGTGATGCAATTTGGTTTTCATCTCTTCACTAGTTGGCTCTATGCGAGTGGCCACGTGCAACTTCACAGCCAAGGCGAACCAACAACTGACTGGACCAAAGAAGATCGTGCCAAGCTTCCCAAGCATGACTGTATTGATCACCCCGCCTACAATGCGAGGGCGCACTTAGGCTCGCCTTGGGTTCGAGATTTCCCTGTCAGGATTGTTGAATATGGAGGTAAATGTTCAGCAGGCTTGTAATACTTCCCATATCTCTGACAAAAGCTATCTTTGCATTCACAGAGATCAGAATGCTGACCGGAGATGGGATGATATGCATTTTCCCGAGCGTCCTTTGGGAAGACAGTAGACTCTATGAACTTACCTTCAACTATCGCTTCGGCTTAGCGATGGCCGTCAATAAGCGACTGCATCAGGACAGATCCAATGGAATACTGGCTTTACCTGACAAGTGAGTTTCAGCGAAGCATCAGGGGGGCTACATTACTGATGTACATATACCCAGCTACTCAATCGTGCCATCGGAAGATTGTCCAGAAGTCTCCATGTTTCCTGTACGTTTGATGCATTGAATCCGCCACTCATCCATCGTAATACTTAAAAATAAAGACAGAGCTTCCTTTCAGCTCTTCGCCAACAAGTCAAAACATCTGAACAGCCTGTGAGCTCTCAATCCTGACAACATTGATATCCTACGCAATTCTGACGGAGTAATGTTTTTACAGACAAAAGATCTTATCGTGTTGTATATCACCATCCGGGGAGGAGCTCCTTTCACTCGTACCACCACCTACGGCAACTTTCCCACAATCGTCAGCCAATAGGAGCGGGCTACGTCGTGCAGTCAGTTATCCCTCTGGGCGACGGCCTATAGCGTACATGAAACAGCAGCAATACATACGGACAGCAGGATGCCCCAGGACGCTACCAGGCGAGGACCGGCAGCATCGCCACAAACCGCCTCGCAGACAAGAAAGACATCGACAACTGTAGCGACAGGCGCACCGCCTACCAAGCAACTGCGGTTCACACCAGCTACAGCCACCTTTACGGCAGCGGTGGACAAGATTCAGACCATGGACGAAGCTCTCGCTGTCTTGCGGAAAAATCAGATGGTACCGGCGGCTGGAGAACCCACGGCGGAGGGCCTCATCACGGGCCTTCATCATGTAGGAGTGGGACTCTCAGGGAAGATGGCATGGGCGTCGGAGTGTTGCATAGCATTAGCCGTCTATGCCAAGGCGGTCATAGAGAGCGCGGTAAGCAAATCATTGACGGAAGCTGTACTCACCCACTTTGAGTCGCAGACGAAAGAACTCATCGGCACCCTGGAGGCGAGGGTGGCCGCCGCTGGCCACCATATTGCTGAACTCGCAAACGAGCTGGCAGGGGTTGCGGAATGCGCAAAGGAGAAGATCGAAGGGGCTGTAGAGAACATTCAGG